AGCAAATAAGTGATCGCTCTCTCTACGGCTGGGGACGGCGAAAACATTTTCTGAAGGATCTCTCTACAGCGACGTCTTTATATGCTTAAATAAAGCCACTGCTGGGGTAGCGGGTCGAACGGGGTTTCGTTATCGCAGTAGCCCTTTCTCCCCTCCCCGAGGACAGGAGGACGCTCGCTCTCCAGCAAACTCGGAGCGCGCTTCTCCTGCGTACAGGTCTCACCGTGCGGGAGCGCAGCCGAGACGCTCCCTGTGTCAGGCAGCGCGCGAGGGGAGAGCGGGAAAGGGGTTAAAAGAGGCGCGCGAACCCCGGGTACCAGCGCCGTGGCTGGAAGGGGCAGAAGAGCGTAGGGAGGAGGGGGACGTGCCGCCTCGCCCCAGCTCTGCCGGTGCAACCCCCGCAGCCGTGCGCCGCGAAGATAAATCAGGGATGACAGCCGAGAGTTGATGAACTGAGAATAACCAGCCTTAGAAGAAAGAAACCAGCAGCGGGAAATCCCCCATCTGCTTTATTTACTCTACATATGCTAAGCGTGGACGTAGCAGTGGTTTATTTTCATAGCGAAGAGATTATACATAAGAGTGATTTCACTGCTTTTTCTTTTTTTATTGGTCTATCTTGTTTAAAAGCCACTTCTGTATTAACTTCAGTTCCACAAGCAGATCCTAATTTTTTGTTGGTTTTAAAATGCGAGCTGGTTGTTTCAGAGCAGCTATTTAAAAAATGCAGAACTAACCGGTGTCAAATGGAAAAAAGAAAAGGGAGAACGTATCAAATGTGTCGCCTCTCATCATAATGTTTCTTAGTACATGAGCATTTTGTGACACTGGGTAGGAAGGATTTTCTAGTTTCAGGTTTTGCTTTTGCCGGATGATTAAAACTGTTGACGGTGGAAAAGGAAGAATGGGGACAGAGAGTAGGAATATATTAAAGCTTCCAGTTTTTTCAGTCTTTCCCCTCTGCAGTTTCCTTCTTGTATTTTGCTTAGCTGCTCTCATGACAAGCTGAGGGGAAAAAAGTCCTGAGGGGTTTAAAGCTTTGTAGTTCCCCAGTTCAAGGTGGAAAGGGGCAGGTTTGTCCTCCGGTGCATAAAAGAAACAGTCCTGACCCACATAAACCTGCCTGCCTTCTGCCTAGGTATCTTTTTCCTTTATGTGACCTCTGTGCCGAGATTGAGAGTTTCTAGGCTGACGGTGTGTTTGGGCTACCTCCAGCCCGAAACCTCAGCAGCACAAGAGATGTTCAGAAACACCACTGATTTCACAGCTACCTTATGCTACTACATTGCAAGAAAAAGCTGTGGGTGAAATGCTGTTATCTTCATAGTCTCTGTTCTCTGCTCTACCATCTGTCAGCAGCGGGAATGGATGTATGCTAAAGATTTCTTGCGGACCTATAGGTGAATCCCAGTCACAAATTTCAAGTCTATGTTCGAAACCATAATCCTAAAGGTATTTAGGAAGGCATGATATCTTTTTTCCTGGACTTTTGCTTTCTTTCTTTCCCTCTCTTGTGTGTAAGGTGCCAGTGATCATAACGTGTGTAACGGTAGCATCAGGTCTGAGACATCAGAGCAAAACTGGACGTATCGGTCAGGAAGCGGTGGAAATGCAAAGGTATGAACACCAAGCCCAACCATCTCCCCTTTATAGCTGCTTTTTAGCTGGGGCTTACAAGTTCCAGAGTTCTAATACACTGAATTTTACATTTCCATTTTGACCATTACTCTAGAGTTTACATAAAATCCTAGCAGTGTTTGCACTTGATTACAGAGGGAAATGGCAGGAAAGAAACCATCTCTGAAGTACAACCATTCTCTTTCAAACTGAACTTTACTTCTCCTCTCCACAAACCTGATCTGGCTTCAGAGCCTATTTCCATAACGGATGACATTTGAGACGAAGATGACAAAGGGATCTGGTCTTCTCCGTACTGCGGTGTGACTTGTACTTCATCCAGGACCTTTTTCCACCTACTTTAGAAGTTTGTATGAAAGGTTTATGCCCAGGACAGCTGTGGCTTTGAGAGAAGGCAGAGCTGTGTGGACTGGTGCCCCCGCTTACCTATCCTACTGATCCCAGAACAGCTCTCGTTTCTAAGGAATTGTGGAGTTTGAATGCAGAAACCTGCGCCTCCATGGCACCAGAAACTGGTGGTGGAACTAGCACCTACTAGTACGATACTAAATGGGTTTAGGCTGCAGAGCACAGATTTTCCTCCTTATGACAAATATTTATCTATATAACTGTAAGTGCGCTGCTGATGATGGAGGGGAACAGTCAAAACACTGCTGTCATCTGTACTGCTCCAGAGGCCAGAACAGAAACTGATCTAAGCATTGAAAAATTCCACTGAGCTTGAGTAGACTGACTTTGGGCACCCTTACTCTTGCCGAGGAACAGATCACACTGAGTTGATCCCACTAATTTTAATGGAGCTATTCATGAAGCGCTGTTCGGTCTGAGCCTGATAGAATCGGGGCTTTACTATGTTTTGTAATCAAGCCATCTTTGTAATGGAGATGATCCCTATGATTTTTCCTCTTTTTATGTTCAAATGAGTCTTTAATCTGTTAGAGCTGTAATGGTATATGGATAACCTAGAAACCCTATCCTGGCAGTCACAGCTTTGATCCTTATTTTAATATTTCAGTATCACTAGTATCATCCCCTTAAACTATTTACCTTCTGTAAGAACTTATTAGCGTGTTTTATATCCCCCTGACAGGAAAAAAGCTAATGAAGTTTATTTATAAATTTATATAATAAAAGATAAGGCACGTTGCAGTACAACCCCTCAGTAAGGAGAGAGACTTGATTCATCTTTTTGTCTCTCTTATTTTATTGCTTATGTCTTCTCCTCCTGTTTGTTGGATTTTTTTATTGTTTTCCCATTTCTTTTCTTGTACTTTTTATATTTTATATTGCCCTCACACATTAACCCCTTTCCAATTAGTCTTCCCTCCTTTTTTTTCTCATTTTTTCCTTCAATAGCTGTCCACCCAGGTCACTTCACTTTCTTCAGTTTTCTTCTTTTACCACTGCTGTTCCCCCATGGGGAACTTTTTGATTCCAGTATTCCAGCATTGCTCCCACTGACGGGCATCACTCCAAGCACACATCCTGTGGTTTGAAGGGTAACAGAGAAAAAAGGGATCTTATCTCCACAAGTGCTTATTCCATTACAATAAAGAAGGACAGAAAGAGAGTTCACAAGATGAGAGAAGACAAAACGCACCTGGGCTAATGCCAGCAGCTTGTGTGGCAGTGTAAGGTGAAGAGTCTCGCAGCCTTGTTATAAATGCATGGTGCTCAGTTATCAGCGGAGGATGCCCTCAGCAACCAGTGCAGACAACACAGCTGTAGCGGCTGGTCATCTCTGAATTTTAGGCTGGAGTACTAACCGGTGGCTGTGTTTTTGATACACACACATACATCATGCCTTGGCATTGCTCTTACACATAACAAACAAGACGCCACGCTGTAATCTCCCCTCTCTGCTTGTTCTTCATCACATTCTTTACCCAGACTCTTCTTCCCAACATTACCAGCTGCATTTGATGCTGGTGTTGCATATTCTGTTTGAGGGGTGATCTGGCAAAGAGGCATGGGAGGGTAGGCTTCCACTGTGGCTTAGCGGAAAAGCTGATATATACGGTCTGTGGGGCAGGGCAGCTCTGGAAATGGTAGTTATGTGCTACCCCTTTCCCTTCTTTCCTTGGTTTTGTAGATTTGCATTTGTGCAGTTTTGCAGTTTTGAAATCGGTTTGGTTCTGGGTTTTTTTTTTTTTTGAGCATGCATTCAAGTAGCTATTATGTTATTTAGGGTTTTCAAATGTTTGCACATTGATCTGTTCATGAAAGGAATGAAGGCAGAGCTTGGCAGGAGCCCAGAAGAGTGCCACAGAAGCATGGCTGCTGATAAAAAGCTTATCTGTTGGCTAGCAGAAGACTGTATCTGTAATAGAAATGCAGCTACATATTGAATTTTCTCTGTCAGAGGAGTAAATCTTCCATAAAAAATATAATTCACAACAGAGGACAATTCTATACAATGGAATTTTATTCAGACTGTCTGGTAGGTATATGCTTGTTATGATGGTTAAATGGCAAAAAATGATGCTTGATCCTAAACATTGCTTGACACATACTCACACTTCTAAATCTCTTTCAGCAACCTATGAATGAAATTCGATACAGAGGAAAATACTGCTTTAAACGTATATGCCAACAAAAAGTGGTACATTGGCATGGACAAATTTCAGTAACAGGTCGGTTTCAACACTTCTTAACAAATTTGTATTGAAAAGAAAGCACAAAAGGCACTAACCTACAATCAGGACTCTTGAAAAAGAAGATCTCATGTTTCTGTGATGTTGTAAAAATACCTCAGCCTGAAAGCCTCTGGAATTACTCCAGGGACATCTTGGCTTTTCTGCTGTGCGAGGAGCCCTCTCTTTGTCACTGTTCCTGCAGTGGAGTGAGATCCTTTCCTTCGCCGCTACGGTTCAGCCTGCAGGCAGCGGCCTCAGAAGGCTGCTTGCTCTTTTGAGAGGCGAGAGGATGAGAGCGCTGGACCCTGAGCAGCTGCCTGGAAAGGAAAGGAGGAAATTGTGCCACGCTTTGGACCCGTTTCAGGACACCATTGGCGATGGGATGATGGTCAGCGTCTTCCCAATACGATTATTGTAGAGAGCTCTTGTCGCGTTTGCTGCCCTTTTTTTAAAGTGTGTAAACTTCTCACAGAGCTGATTTGGTTTCAGTGGTATTATGGCAGAGACTGGGTTATGGCTCCTCATTTTGTTCTCCATGCCCACTTGAGGAGAGGGTCATAGGAAGCTGGCCTGAGCACGGGCTTGCAGTCTGTCTCAACCCTCTGCACCCATCCTGCCGTGGTTCCCTGCTCTCCCCAGCTGTCCCCATGGTCATCCCACTCATGCCTATAAGGGAAAGAAGCTTATTTTGCTTTTTAAGAAACTAGCCAAGGATTATATAAAATTCAAACCTGTCCCAGTATTCTCTTTTGTCAGGAAGACTGGAAGGAGGTAGGAAAAAGTAATGGCATCCTAAGCCATTACTTAGGAGGGAGGGAAGGAGAGAAGACGGGCAAACACCCCCAACAAAAACAAAGGAAGAGCGAGTAACCTTAACTTTGAAGTGCTGGCGTTTCCTAAGAGCACAGGACGGGCTGAAAGGAAACAGACAGTTGGAAAAGAAGCTAGGCTAGGCTAGGTATTTGCGTATACAGTTGTAAAGTGGAGGTAAATTGCCACCATGTGGCAATCTCTCCACATGTAAAGAAAATACATACGTAAAGGGGGTGGTGAATTTTTGTCCCTGAAAAGGCAGGCAGTATTCTGTAAATGGGGGTACGGAGCTGATCCATTTTGACTCACTGAGAAAGGTCTTTTATCTAGAAGGGAGGCCTAAGTATCCTTTCTACAGCTTTACTATACACAAGAAAAGATAAAAAGTGCTATTGTTATTTAGCAAAAGACAACTAGTGAGGAAATTTCCCCAAGCCATAAAGGATCTATAAATACCCTAAGAGATGGGCTTTGCTTTTCTATTCTGCAAGTAGCTCAAGATCAGAACCTCCCACAAGGTCTCCAGAAACGGTGCCCTGAACACGTATTTGAAAGACCAGGAGACCTGTGAAACCTGCCTTGGCTGTAGCTATTAGGACAAAATTTACAGGGAGTTCTAGTGGATTTGACCAAAGCTGCCTCTATTTATTGCAATGTCATCCAAGAGCATTGAAAATCAGGAGGAGACTTGGAAGCTGCATAGAGAAACAAGGGGTAGGAGCCGAGAAAGAGGGATCACTGGAGAGAAACATAGGACATGATAATTGCATGAGAGGCCCGGATTGACAGGCTGCAGAAATGGGGGCTGCCTTGGGCTTCCCCTTCTCTTCTTAGCTTGGTTTCTGTTATGTAAACAAGAACTCCTACATTATTACACACCAGAGAATCAAGACAGGAGAGGCCTTTTACGAGCGTGGGGACTCGTGTCCTGCCAGTTGGTGATGAGACGAGCACTGTAATCTGGCATAAATCTGTGTCACTGCTGTAAAGGGAGGTGCTTTCTGCCACCACCCCTAGCTGCCCATTCTCGTTGCCTCTCCTGTGCTCACGGTAGCTTTCACACAGCCACAAGGATTAATCCAGCCCAGAACAGTTCTTTATCAGCATCAGCATTTCGATTCAGAGATGCCCGTGCCTGCACAAGGACGGGAGTGGGGAGGAGTGGCCCCCTTGTAGCACCACTGAGAATTCATCCCAGATCCAAAGAGCAACGTCCGTGGCCTGAGACATCAGCATCAATCAAGTGTGGAGGCAAGGCCACAAGATGCCAAGCTTTATATACCTTTTTTCATCAACACATCACCTCACTTACCTGGGTTTTATGTGCCCCTCTCTTTCAGCAGCTGCCCAGTAGGAGGGAGGAAATGGAAATCAGCCAAATCAATTGCACACACACCAGCAAAGTATTTTATTGTTTCATTTAGCGTTACATTTTTTGATTTGAAAAACAACCTGTTTCTACCTTTGTCCTCTTT